ATATGAGTGATGTTCCCGACTTCTACGTTGCAAGGTTTTCCGTAAAACAATACAATCTAGGTATCAATTAAACAGTTTGCAAATAAATTAGAAAAAAAGATGAAAGAAAGATAAAATAAATTACTTAATAATGCTAAATAATAATTTTAATCAATTTTATTTCATTAGCCCGGAATTCACTTAATTCTAATAGGAAAAATGATGATTCCTTGCAAACTTCTAATGAACCTTATGATAATTCAGTACATGATGATGATACATTATCCGATTCCACTATACAAGACGAATCGATGAATATGGATACAGAAAATTCTGATCTCTCACCTTTAAAGGATGATAAAATCCATCCTTTAAATGAGATTGTAAGCAAAAAAAAAAAAATTTATTTTCTTTTGCTTTACGTATCATTAATTTATTTTAAAATTTCTCAGGACAACGAAAGCGAAGGCATGGAATTAAAGGAGATAAAGGTAGAAAAAGTAGAAATCGAAAAAGATATCAATGAAAGCGTTATCGATGATCCCAAAGAATACATTGGCGAAGGCAATAGCGACACCAAGTACGTGGGCTCCGTGAACAAAAAAGCAGCCAAGCGACCACGAAGATCCTCACGTAAAAAAACTCCAGTGGTTAAGCGTAATAAAAAGACCAATTCAAGGAAAAATCCTGATAAAAAAACAAGTAAAGACGACGGTAACAAAAGAAAGAAAGGTGACATCATTAAAGAAAAGATCATTTATGCTTCGCTTGAGGAAAGCAACGACGAAATCGAAAGCGATGATAGCGAATATTATGAGGCCTCGACTAGAAATTGGAGCGCGAACGATAAACCCTACGAATGTAAACATCCAGGATGTAACAAAAGATACGCGTATTTAAACAGCTTGTTAACACATAGGAGAATACACGAAAGCAATAATCCTTACGTATGTTTAGAACCAGGTTGTGGAAAGAAATTTGCACGGTCAGGTCATTTGACAACACATCAGAAAGTCCATACTAATGAGAAACCTTACGTGTGTAATGAATCAGGATGCGACAGGAGTTTTAAAGTTTATACCAGCTTATTTTATCATAAGAGGTTACATAGAGGTGAAAGCCCTTACATTTGTGAGATACAAGATTGCGGCAAAAAATACACTAGCCATGGTAGCTTGTTAGCTCATAAGAGGAAACACTCCCAAAATTTGATTTAGTTGAGATGTTTATCATATTGTATTATTGTACATTGAAATTATATTCATAATAAATCATTTCTTTTTAGTATTTTTTTTTTCAATTAAATGATAATTAAATATTCCCAGCATCCTAAAATCAGAAATTTTTACTCTTGCCATCAGTTCATGGTAATAACCTTGATCATTTATATTTTTCAACTGCATCATGTTATTTTTCATTTTCTCTATCTAGAACATCGGGCACGTCAGAAACCAGTGTGGTGTGTGGTTACATTGTTCAACACGCGTATGACGAGTTGTTATTGTTGATTTTAGGGATTTTGTTGGGTAGGGTTAGGGTTAGGGTTAGGGTTAAATTATATTGTAATTTATAGAATTTTAACATTATGCTATATTTATTTAGGTGTCATTTCCTATATTCGACTTATTCCAGACTTATCGGATTTAATTTTTCCATAAATTGAAAAAGGATTTTGTCATTGATTCAAAAGTATTTTTTTAGAAATAACTTTTAATTTGTCTATACTTTTAAGAATACTTGACTAAGTTCTCTTGTTGAAATGATTTACTGAATGGGCACTATATGAATAAGTGATTAACGATTTATTCTTTCAGAAGAGATTTTAACCGAAGAGAGAATCTTTTGATCGGCGACTGTGTAAAATCAGCAATGTGGTATGGATGTATGGATGTATGGACGGAAACAAACTATTTATGCATAACCTTATGTAAGTCTTCGTGACTGGTAGCTCTTGATTCCTATAATTTTGATAACCAAATTAATTTATCTATTTAAGGATGTTATTAGTAAACAGGTGGGTTATGATTTGACAAAATTCATTGATATTTTACACCTTATCATTTTTAAAATGTTTGTAAAGTAATGTTGGGGTTTGTAAAACGCAATATTGTAATACTGTATAGAAGAAACCATCAGTGATTATGTATTAATATTTGGGATACCATTCATATAAGCTAAACATTCTTAATGTTAATTATTTTTCTTTTGAATAAAAATTATAAAATCATGAATCTAATTTCAAAACTTCTCTGTTACTTTTTTTAGTACCAATTTCTTGAAACTTGGTCATGTTAAATCAAAAATAGTTTAGAAGCTCTTTTTTTATTATATTTCAAAGGACCACTTGAGACATAGATTTGTTTAATGGACTTGTGGTTAAAAATAACTGTTCGCAATGAATACTTACCATAAATTTCTCTAACTCAAAAAAAAAAAATTATATTAAGGGTTTCGGATAATTTTCTACATAAAATTTAACTATACATTTAAACTTTCGTCGTTGATACTTTTGTGTTATACTACATATTTTTATAGTTTTTAGAACAGTTCAGTGTTTATATAAAAATATTAGCGTTATAACTTTACTCACTTTTTCACCCATAAATTTATTTAAATTTATATAAAAAAAAACTATTAGACATCCTTGAAAGTTGGTATTTACTTTTATATTAAGCTTATAGGCGCAAAACTTTTACGATTATGAGGATAGTATCATTTGTAAGAGAGGAGACAAATGTCCAATCAGTTGAAATAATACACCACTTTGGAAGTAATTATTTCCGTAAAAATTTTGATCTGAAGCCTTTCTAATTGATGTTGAAAACCACATTTGTGTTTACTAGGGTTAAATGAATTAATTTTCTTTCGTCTTTCATATTTGCTCGCTGAGGGTTAGAGACAATTTATATGGGGAAAAACAAAAACAATCTATGAACTTAACTGAATCAAATCAAATCGTAAGCACCAGCCGAAAAATTCAGACGGCTTAAATTATTTTACAATTGCATAATTTTTTTCGTATTTACAATGTTTAATGTAAAAATATTTTGCATAATTCTTTCATTTACAAAGCCTGCGATTCATAAAAATCATAAAGCAAGATGCTTTGATATAGAATTGTAAAATAGAAACGTATAGCTTTACATAACACTATTTTTATATGATTGACTTCGTTCTAGTGGCATGTGTGACTCTTAATTATATATGAATATTTCTTTCTAACAGAATTGGTTATCACACATCTTATTTTTTTCAATTTTTTTAAACATAAAAAATTGCATTTTATAGATCACCATATACTATATCAAGTTTCTAACTATATACTAGAAGTTTTGATGATTTAATATAACCATAAAATGTTAAGACAACTACAAATCCCATAACCAATATACAAACTTTATAAACTATATGTTCATGGTAACTATACTATATATATCATATCATTTTAGTATTAAATTTCTTTAAAAGCTTATTATTAACTTATTAAATAATATTATATTTAATAATTTTTATATGAAACCTTTGCAAGTATATACTGCAAAAAAAAAGATAAAAATAATTAAATGCTAAATCTGAATATAATTTAAATTCTTAATTCTGAAGCAAAATTTAGTTAAGTTGCAGAATTGGACTATATAGAAAAATCAAGCACCCTTTATGAACTAACCATTATATTTTATTTTTGTAGTAATCCATCTCGCTGTATATCCAAGAAATTTATTTCCTGAAGATAAAAATGGTAAATTTTATTTGCAATTTTAGTGAGACGCATGATGATAATTATGTAAGATAAGAACATCTAAAAAAAAAAATGGAAAGACAATTAGAAACGTAAAAGGTCTAGAAAATTTTCAAGTGTTATTAACATACCTTTTGTAATCAGATTTTATTATTATTTAGCAATTTTTGCAATTTATATCGATAAATCAAATTAACTACTTTTTATACTCTGCGTGATCTTGGAAATCAGCATTATCATATTACAAAGATTGAATATCCTAAGAGGATATGGACCTGTACTTGCGGGAGAAAAACATACTACAATGTAATACAAATAATTTGATGGATGGATCGGTCATCGATTTATTACTAATTTTACTTTCTTCTACGATCTAAAATTAAAATTATCACATCATGGAAGTCCGATCTATTGATATTACCAGCTCTTATCAAAACAGAAATTATCAATCATTTATATATTTCTCTTGGTTAAAATTAATTCCGCCATGAATTAATAATGACTATTGTTTCTGCACTTCAACTGAAAGTCAAATTCATTCGCAAGGGCTTACCAATTTTAGAAATTTTGAGAAAGAAATATATGCGAGGACAATTATTTCAGGTAAATTTCTTAGGATTTTCTTATTAATGAATAATGAATCGAGCAATGCAGATAAAAAAAATAAAACATTAACCTAACTTATTTCTGTATTTTGATATATTCCGTGGTAAACATCTATGTCCAAGTATCGAATTCCTGAATTCTTACAATCAAATTAGCGTAATTTTCGAGTTATGGACCCTGTAAAACAATAAAGATCTATGGATCTATTGTGCTTATCCTTCCACAACGATAGTAATGAAATCGAGATCTTTTAAATATTTCAGTCGAAAGTTAGATTGGATTGACAAATTATATGTATGAATTATTCACATCAAATAAAAATAACATCAATTGATATGCAACGAAAGAGTATAAATTCACTACAATGAAATTTTCAAATAAAATGACAAATTATCCCTATCGTGCTAATATTACTGCCGAATCTTAATCAATCTGTGTTCCTACCGAGCAAAAATTTCGTAAAAAAAATCAAAAACTAGAAAGTTACAGAATCTCCGCCAATGATTTCCCTTACTAAGATATAACTTAGTCAAATTTGAAATTCATCAAACAAGCTGACAGTTTGTCGATACGATTATAATTTTTTTGCCGATAACAAAAAAAAAAAGATAAACAAAAGATAAAAAGAAAAGAAAAAAAATCCTATTAAAAGGTGGTTAATGTGATTTGGCCTTAATTATACAACATATCTAGTTTGCTCATATTCATAATCGCTATACTTCTCAAAATCAAATAAAAAGTGTGACAACAGAACTCTTTTAGATTTCTCGGTTTGTCCTTGGTCGTTTATAGTCTCGCCTTCAAAATCCTTGAAACGATTAATGATTCGTGTGATAGACAAAGCACCAATAGCTAATACAATCTTTGTCACATACACATTATTGCTCAACGGCCACCCCACTACAAGCGTTAACATACTTATGACTATTGCATGGCATGAGGTTGAGAGAAATCTTATATAGAATGGGGAAACGCAACAGCCGCATAATGGTAGAAACAAAAGCAAAAACGCAAACGCCATGGCTGTTGTGAGCAATACACTAGAAAGTCCACACCTGAAAGATTTGAAAGGTCCCTCACAAATAGGAGCCACAAAATAAGGATTTATAGTACGAAGATTATTCACTGTTTCAGATGCGTAAACAAATCCCACTGCTATCACATTAGCGACAAAGAGAAATGCATAGATGGCACTCCAGTATCTCTTAAACCGTCTAAAAAAATTTTCTCTCATGATGTAAAGTAACTCAAATGCTAATATCACCATCGCCGGGACCAAGGCGATAAGTATTCCGATGATTTTTGTGTGAGTAATATCGTTTTTGATGATATAAAAATAAAAGAAGCCTGTAGGAGTGAGGAGACTAATGTAGATTATGAAATCATCTAAGATGGTGCGCAAACTTTTGTGTTTTTGTCTTTCCGTCTCAAAAAGAGTTATTGCTAATAATGGCACCATGACCGTGAGGAGAAATGTCGTGGCGTCACCGGTGGCATCATACATTGCTGCCTGTGCGTGGATTGACGTTGGAAAGTCGATCAAAAGTAAGAGCGATATCAAACATAAACGTTTCATTATGATTTTTTTTTATATTATAAGGTTATTTGTTCGTTGTGCGGTCGTTTTATTCGTTTAATTCTGCCTTTTCTTTTAAGCTGTCGTAAAATGTAAGAAGTGCATAATGGATTGCATTGCATATTTATGTTAGAAATTCGCAATTCGGAAGTTAGAATTCGGAAAAAGACAAACAAAAGATTTCATTTATCGATAACGGAATTTTAAGTCCGTGTTTGTATCATTTCAGATGTGCGAAAAACTTCCCGCATAATGAGGCACCACAAGTATCCCGAAGCATAAATGAAAAATCACTATTCGGAATAAGAGAGCGTTCCGTAATACTCAAATGTCCCGCCGAAATAGGAAATGATGAGCGAACTAATCCTAAAACCTTTGTACATTTAGTATAAACAAAATAGCACGTTACTTGATTCAATATTGTATTGATATTTTACCTAATTATCTCATATATCTCGTTTAAAATTTTGACAAAACTTCTGAATGGGATAATTATGTTTCTCACATTCACACTAGTCAAAATATTTCTATTTTCGAGCTTTCGCTATTATCATGAATGCACCATTTTGTAATCATTCTTTCTAAATAAGTCAATGTTCTACCAAAATAAAATATTATGATCACCGCCTCTGATTGAGGATTGTGTTGCAATAGGTTTATCGCAATCGCATTATTAATTCGATTGATTAGAAGTACTAAATTAGTCTTCTCATTGGTCCTTTGTTTTTCAGTTTTTGGTTTTACTTTCTGCAGATGTCGCGCCATATGATTTTCACATTTTCATTTTCATTGTTTTCGTCGGATTTTTTTTTTTATCTGATCTTTCATCACTTGGATAAATTTATATTCCTATGAGAAACAATTGTCGCGAAACATAAATATCTACTATTCTCATACGAATCTTAAGATATTAGTGGATATAAATAATGTCGTTTTGTAATGAAAGACAGTGTAATGTGATAAAGCATTATATTAAAGAAAATAAGATTTTATGAAATTCATTGTTTTTTCGTAAAAAAAAAAATTTGTGGGAAATTATATTCTAACATGATGGTATGGTTTGTTATATATATATATATATATTTTAAAAAAAATCTATGATGATTTTAATTGAATTTTTGTAATTAACCAAATGATTACAATAACTGATTTAATAAAAACAATTAATTCTTCAATTAGTTGGATTTATTTATAAGATTTTACATTAATCGCGCGCTCTTAAACCAAAGTATAAATATTCTATTCTTAAAATTTAAAACATAGGCCATGAATAAATTTTTTTATCTGTTTTTCTCTCATCTATCTCACGTAATAATGTATCAATTGTGAAAAAAGAAGCCATTTTTAAAAACGGTAACGCTTTTGAAAATTTATCAGAAAAATTACGATAAATGATTATTTAACACCGAACGAAGATGTTATTAACAGAGCTTGGAGCTTGGAAGAGACTGTCAAAACACTTTCACTTTACCATGATATTTAATCGACACGAACGCGATGCTGTAATTATATCGTTTGCGACATTAACTTTATCATTATATCAATAATTGAGAAAGAATGCTTTTCTTAAGTTGCTAATAATAACTTTGCTGATTCATAACAATCATTGTATAAGAAGGTGGATATGCATTCAACTAATTCAAAATAAATTCTTAGAATGGTTATATAATCCTTGCGGATTAAGATTGCGGTGAACTACTCTTAGATTTCAAGAAAATCGTTCGAAATACTTTTGCTATTTACTTAAACGATGATTCCTGACTTAAAACTTCACTAAATAAATTACTTCAATTATTATAATAAATTTTTTAATTTTAACTTTTTTTTATTTGACATCTTGTGTAGACATTTAATTGTTTTAATATATAAATATAAAAATTATTTAATACGCAAGACTTTTTTTTAATTTATAATCTTTTCTGAATAATACAATTAATAATTGTCAGATTTATGCATTAGTAACAGATTTTGTAAATTAATATTAGTTATTTTATTAAAAATTTTTCAAAATAAAATTTGTTATATTATACAGTCAACCTCTCATACGGCTATCTTTATAATAGAAGAAATTTTAAGCATAAATTTATGTAGTTTATATAAAATTATGCATAAGGTTATATAAAGTTATGTAACTTATATAATGTAAGTTTTACATAACGATAAGGTTTATATAAATTTATATAAATTACATAACGTTATATTTATAAAAATTTTTAGATATACTGTATATAATTTTATTATTAATAACCTTATTAAAATTTTATCTTAGAGATCGCAAGTATTTTGCGATTCTCTTAAGGGTTTCGCAATTACAGAGGGCGATCAAAATTATCCGGCCAGTTTGTTAGGCCAAAATTATGCCGATCATCACGTGTTAATATAATATAAACTTCATTTTTTCTCGGAATTTTTCGGAAATATGAAGCCACTTACCCCAAAAACTCGTGGCGCAATCGTTTATGGCCATAATTGTGGACAATCAAGTCGCACAATAGCTAAACGGTTGGGGTGTGGGAAAACAACTATTAATGATATTCTTAAACGCCTTCATGAAACACATTCTTTAACTCCAAAAAAACAAACTGGCCGTCCACCACTTCTTAATTCACCAGCCCAACAAGAACTTAAAGCCTTTGTTCAAGAAAATGGTGAAAATCGTCGACTTTGTTCAAAAAAGCTTGCAACAGTTTGGACAGCTCATACAAAACAGCCTATTTCTGCTGTTACTATACGCCGGAATCTTAAGAAAGTTGGGCTTACATCTTGTATACCTCGTAAAAAACCCGCAATGACAGAAGTACATCATCAGGCTCGTCTCAAATGGGCTTATGCACACAAAAATTGGTGAAAAAAAAAATGGAAAGAATGCTTTTTTCAGATGAAAGTACTTTTGCACAATTTCAACAAGGTCGTCAAGGAAAGGTATGGTGTGAACCTGGAGAAGAATTAAACCCAGACTGTATTGCAGTTACTGTAAAACATAGTCCTAGTAGAATGTTTTAGAGGTGCTTTTCTTGGCATGGGCTTGGACCAATTGTTCTATTAAAAGACTCAGTTAATGATCAAACACATGCTAAGGTTATTAATAAATATGTTGTACCTACCTTGAATAAGTATTTTCCACAAGGTAATGGAATTTTTCAGGAGGATAATGCTTTACCACATCATTCAAAAGTTGCTGTTTCTGCCTGCGAAAATGCTGAAATTGTGAAAATGGATTGGCCTGCACAAAGTCCTGATCTGAATCTGATTGAGAACTTCTAGATAGAAATGAAAGTAATGGTTCATCATCATACCCTACCACCATCTAACATCTAAGAACTTGAAAAGTATGTTAAAAACGTGTGAAAGGATCTTTCACAGAATATTACAAAAAATTGATCAAAAGTATATCTCAGAGAATTAAGGCAGTTATTGCTGCAAATGGAAATAGTATTAATTATTAATAATTTAATTTTTTTATGTAAAAATTAATAAATAAAGATAAGATAAATATATTTATCTTAAATTTTAATTTTTAATATATAATACATATAAAGTTTTTATATTTTAAATAGTGACTGGATAATTTTGATTGCCCTTTGTACTTTGCAAGTATTTTGTGACTCTCTTAAGAGGTTCGTAACTTTTTGTGATTTCTCTAAGGAATTCACAATTATTTTAGATGGCAGTAGAAATAAATGAGCTGAATCTTATGAGGACTGATCAACCAAACAAATTCATACTTTAGCATAATCATCTCGTTCAGAATTTTAACACTTCAATTCAGAATGTGGCTTATGTATGTGAAAATTTTTCTGCTATATTTTGTGTGACTTTTAGACTGCAGTTCAATCAGAATATATCTTTCTCTTAACCATTAGGAAATGGTTTCAAAAACCATTTTGAGCGGATGGACAAATAGAATATCAGATACAGATATACAGTCTATAGTCCTTCGCTTACGCTCTGGACTAATTAAAATTTGTTTACTTACTCCAAACTAACTCAAAATGGATTATTTTTGTAGGATCGTTTTACCATTTCACCTCGTTATCCGTCAAGTTATGTTCCCTCAACCACAAAAACTTGCGTTAAGAAATTCAAACCCTATTCTATTTCAATCGTCAAAATCTTACACAAATTCTATATTTCATTTCCTTCTTAACACCCCTTTCAATGAGTCTACTTCATCTTTCAACCTAAATAGATACCTAAATAAATTCAGAAAAGGTTTTGTAATACAGCTTTCGGTATGAAGTAACTTTGTTCATTATGCATTGTTTAGCCAAATTTCTCAACATTTTTTCAATTATAGACTGCTATATATGCGAAATTAGTCGTGACTGGTATTGTTAGTTTAGAGTCAGTGGAAACACATGCAATGAACGTCTTCTTAATAACACAGTGAAAAAAGTACTCAACCTAAAATTGATATTTCAGATGATGAGCTTGTTCTACAACCTCAAGTTGTAGATTGTCTTAAAAAAATTTTCAGCCAAACAAAAATCAGTCATTTTATTATGTGGTTTGCAGAGAACACAGAACTAGGAAAATACCTTAACTAGAATTACATTAAGAGAAGTAAGACAAGATAAGAACAACAGTATACAGGGTGAAATGAGTGTCATATACATTGATGTTTCATCTGATTTCGAAGACTTGTATTTGAAGAAAATATTTTTATCACAGAATATTTGAGACGAAAAATCTTGGGTATAACTAAAGGTAATAAACTAAAATATTAGTACTTAATTACTAATCAAAATATTTGACACAGTTTCTTTTTATTTATCAACAATAATGCTTGGCTGTAATTTTTTTTGAATTGATAAAAAAATCTCACAAAGTTCCTGGTGAGTATCCTCATTATCATTTTTAATTATATCAACCATTACCTTTCTTCCTAAACCCCAAAGTTCTCCAAACTTATATATTTTTGATATAGATTTAGTTATTTTAGTATTTATTATTGAAACTCTTACTTGAATAGATCTATTTAAATTCGAAAATTTTGTTGACAGAGATTGTGTCTTTAATGCTAATATATTCATTAAAAAAATAATAACAAATTCTTTATTTGATATATCAGTTCCTTAAAGTACATCTTTATACCAACGCTAATTTACCAAACTAATATAAAATCTAGCAGTAGCTGTAAGGGTCATTATATAGTAAAAATAATAACATAGATAACTATAAGTTTTGTTGATTATATATGTACAAAGAAGAGTACTAATATTCAAAAGATATATAAAATGAGAAATCTTTTAATTTATTAAATATATTTGACTTATCAAGTACCTAAGCAAATAGTAATTAATTATATTTTTTTAACAAAATTACTAGATATTAGAAAATAAACTAAGATAATGCATAAAATTAATAACTTAAATCTTACCATTTACTTAGGATATAAAACTTTAAGCTCAATCTCTATAGTATAATAATAAAGACTTAGTTCCATTTGTTTTTCCTGCTTTTCATAATATTTGGCATTATATATTTATTTAATTGTTATGCTATTAGTTCAAAATAGATGTTGTTACATTTTGAGATCTAATTTGAAGTATAGTTTGATACCAATTTATGAATTTATAATATTCACTCTCTTTTTAATACCTTTTTTCTAATGTATCTAATAATTTATATAATGAAAGGTTTGAATTTCTAAAAAGCCATTTTAATACTAAATTTTACCTTCATTATAAGAAGTTATTTGTGCATTAGTAATAAAGTATTTGCTAGTAAAAGTATGTGCCCATGATCAAAATTACATTCTAATAATCTTATCAAATAATCTTTAGCTTGTGGATATTTCTGTAATAGTATCTCTCACTTTTTATTGAATAAACAAATATATAATTAATTGAAAAGATCAACATTATTCTTTTTTTTTAATTTCAATTAAGAACAATTAGTGTTAAATTTATTTACAATAGACAAAAATCTACAATAGATGAAATAATGAACGAAATTATATAATACAATAGAATATTATAATAAAAATCAATAGAGTTTAATAAATAATGATAGATTCTAATTAAAACAATTATTATTAAGTGTGACAAAATTGATAATAGACAATTATACTGAAAAAACAAAATGAAAATAACGAAAAAAATACGAATAAGAAAATTAAAAATCGAAAAGCGAAAACGAAAAGTTAGAAAATTAACCAAAAAAAAAGAAAAAAATACGAATATGAAATAAAAAAAAAGGACGAATGAAACGAAATTAAGAAAAAAAAAACTAAAAACTAAATAAAAGCAAAAAAGATCGCATGAAAAATTTAAAAAGAATAAAATTAAACGAAAAAATATAAATAAAAAAAAAATAAAAAAAATGATCACTGAATTTAAAATAAAAAAGACCGGGAGAGGAAAAAAAATATAAAATTATTAAAATAGAGTGATGATGAGTAGAGTATATCACGTGTTATGATGTTGAGTATATTTTTTTTAATACTCAACTGCCTTACCTAACACTAATCTAACCCTAACATGACAAAAAACCATACTCAACATCATAACACGTGATACTCTACTCATCACCTCCACCCGAATCTACTCCTTTTCGTAATACTTATTAAAATAAATCATTTGCTAATTAAAACAAAATTTTCCATCACTATCAGTTATTTTTTACTGCGGTAAGATCTACATACCTTAACAATTCTGTTATCATTATACAAGATAATTTGATTAAAATTGAAGTTTTTTTTAAAAAAACTTTTTTTTTATTATAAGTTATAACAATGTCTAATAGTAATTATAAAAGTAAAAGTGTAATAAAAAAAATTAAATAATATTTTCACCAAACAAGAAAAAAGAATAAAAAATATAAAGTTTCTTATGATTAAAATGAATTATTTGACGGTTTGATTATATTCTAAAATCTTTTTTTTTTATGAATTTATATTAGAGTCAGTTTCAGATGCTAAAAAAACTTTCTTATTAGATGGTAATACATGTATTATAATCACACTCTAATTCATTAATTATTCATTTTTTGTTTGCTAAAAATTAAATTTTATCAAATTTAAATATAGAATCAGTTTCAGATACTCCTACATTAAAAGAATTAAATGGTAATAAACTTTATTTATCTATTATTTACTTATATAATTATTAAATAATTAATATTTTTTCTTAAAAAAAAAATTTAATGATGGTAACGCTTAGATTGTAAATTATTTTTATTATATTTAATTTATATAATTTAAATTTAATTAAAAAAATATTTAATGATTAATATTATAAGGAATAAGTTATTTATTTTTTAAATTTTAATTTAAACTTAAATTATTACATAAAAATTTTTAATGATAATTAATAATATTTTAGTTGGAAATTATTTATATTTATAATTTTTATTTAATATTTATTATAATTTAAAGTCAAGTAAATTTTTTATTTAAATTCAATAGATTGTAAGTTATTTTTATTGATTATCAGTATTTAATTATACTTGTTATTATAATATTAATTAAATTTTTTATTTATTTTAAAAATAAATTTATTAGGGATAAGTTATTTTTATTTTTATTTTTATTACTAAATAAATAATTTAAACATAATTAATTAATAATATAAATATTATTATTTAATAAATAATTTTATTAAGTAAGTATTATATTTTTATTTTTTAATAATAATAAAATAATAATTATGATATTAATACTATAAAATTATTATTTAAAACAAAAGGGATTTGCTCAAATTGTAATAAAAGAAATACTGGATATAATTAGTATAAAGAATATTATTCTAATTTATTTTTAATTGGACTAATAATATAAAATTATTAATAAATTTATTCAAATAATTCAAATAAATACTCAAAGATAATGGACTAGTAAAAATAAAT